TCCCAAGCATTTTTCACAATATCACTGTATCCTTCCATTTGGTCCATCTACTATCAAAAACAAATCTCTTAGGTTTAATCACAGAGGTATGATGACTCTCCAAAGCAAGCATATTGTGGTCAGAAGAAAACAAAAAAATGTGCTTAACACGGGCATTTGGAAACATAGAGAGCCAGTCCTGAGAGAAGAAAAGCCTATCAAGTTTGGCTTCAATGAAATACTCCCCCTGCCTATTGTTAGCCCAAGTGAACACATGACCACTAGTTCTAGTTTCACTCATCCCCATATTTCTGACAAAGTTTCTAAACCCTCTAAAACTAGACTCAGCTCTAACTCTCCCCCCTTTCTTATCATGATGATGAAGAATGTCATTAAAATCCCCCCCCAGAAACCAAAGATTGCCCCACCTCACTCTAAGGTTCTGAAGCACATCCCACTGAAGATGTCTAACCTCATGGTTGACACTGGCATAGACAAAAGTTCCCCACTGAATGAGAAGACTACCCCTAACACAGAACTGGACTTCAATACAAAAATCAAGAAAGGACAAACTAATTATATTAATATTACTAGACCAATAAAGCAACAATCCCCCTTTAGTGCCACAAAGAGGCACATAAAAGCAAAATCCTGAATTTTAAGCTTTTTACAAACAGTTAAAACAAATTTTGGTTTTTTTTTTTGTTTCTGAAAGAAACAGAAAATCTGGGAGGTGAACCCTTAGGGTTTCTCTTATCTGGGAAATTGTAGAGGGCCCTCCCAGACCTCTACAATTGCATACACTTACTTTCATTGGGCACTTTGGGACCAGTTAGGGCTGGTTTCCTCCACCTCATTAATCCTCAGACAATCAGATAATTTCAGTTTTTTCTTATTCAAGTTTAGCTCAGATTCTACTCCATTATCAATTGCAATATTCTGAAAAGATCTCTTATTGACACTTTTAATAGGTTCTTTAGCATTCAGATTAATTCCAGATTTGTCTATTTTCATAGACTCACTTCTATTAACAGGCCCATGTTTAGGTTTTCTAACATAAGAACTCTTTTTCCTGAGACCTATCTTATCTCCCAGAGAGGCATGTTGAATATCAACTTCTACCAAATAAGAGCTGGTAGGGACTGCCTCAATGGGTTTAACAGTATCAATAGGTGTTTCTTCCTCTATGACACTCATCCCAATATGTTTGGGCTCAGGAGAACAAAGATGATCTTCTTTCCTAGACTCTTTACTGCTCTCCACTCTCCCTTCCTCAGGGGTTATCCCTACATTCTGACTTGGGCTACCCAATAGGCTCAAATTAAATTCAGGACTAGAGTTTTTATTAGAAACATCCACACTAGGGTCACCTGATTGGGCTGTTCTAGAGGTTTTAGGACTTGAGAAGGCCGAGCTAGAAACTCTCAACCATTCACCGTATTGCCCTTTGTTAAGCACATTTGTAGAGACTTCTTCTTGTTTGATAGGACAAGATTTCTGACTATGTCCTATCACACCACAATAAAAACAAAAGGCCTGGAGGTTTTCATACCTGAAATCAACCCATTTGCTATCTTCTCCCACCTTAATGTTGGTTCCCTGCAAGAGTGGATTTTTAACTGAATTTCCACCAAACATTTAACCACTTTACCATTAAGAAGCCCAGCCCCTGGCACCACAACATTTACCACATGGCCTATCTTCTTTCCAATCTTCATACCTGCTTCTTCAGAAATCCAGTGGAGAGGTAGGTTATGAATTTGCACCCAAAGCTTAATAACTTCTTCTTCCTCGGTAAACTCTGTGTTTAGTGGGTTCTATTCCTTAAGCAGGATATATTGTCCATCAAACGTCCAGGTTTTGCCCTTTAGAATTCGCTCCTTATCTTCTACCAGCTGGAACAGAAATTGGTAATGGTTTGGGCCTAGGCTGCGTACCGAGAACGGTTGCTTTGTAACCCAAATTCCACTCAGAGTCGTTTTCATCCACTCAAATTGGCTTTTTTGTCTCCAAAGATCTTGCCTATCAGACTCTTCTGGCATTCTTGAAACCCTGGTGCTATATCTTCAACCAAGAGTTCCACTTCTTCCTCCTCCTTGGCAGAGAGCTTAAATTTTGGAGCTGATCTGTTATTTCTTTATCCATGGACCCTTATCAACGCCCCTGCAGAAGGCAATCCTCAAGGAATCTAGAAGGAAAGGGTTAAAGAAAGGAAACCAAGAATAAACAAGCACAATCGAAACAAAATGTAAGGCAATCAAGATCTACAACACAACAAAAGCAAAAAAGAAACTACTGAAAACCGTAATAAGGCCAAAGCAAGACACCCAAAGAGCTAGCAGACCCCTAAGGAAACCCTAACACCTATCGCAACACCCCCTACAGCCCCAACAATCCAACAAAGATAAACGAAAGGAGAAAATCCATTAGAGAACCAAGGTTAGAAATCCAATTTCTGGAACTGAGATCTCAAAAAGAGAAAAAATCGCCACCCGAGCGAACTCCAAAATGTTTTTTTTTTATGGGTGTAAATGCAAGAAATCGATTTATTTCATGTCAGTCGCACCATATCGGAAATTAAAGGAATCACAATTATTGTGTAAATTCAATAGTTAGAACTTAGAAGGGTCGATCTGTCATACTTTATGAAGAAAAATGTCTACATATGCTATGAAATGTCATACTTTTATTTATATTATTTTTGGAGTATGACATTTCAATTGAAAAGTATATATATTTACATATTAAAAAATATAGCTACCTAATCAATAAGCTTGCTTAACAACCTACTTTACTCAAAAGGAAATTTGATATATGATTGGATACCGACAAAAACAGTTATTTATGACCAATTTTTTTACTCTATTCTAACGGAAAATTCGAACTCAAACTTAATTCATCTTAATTCTTCTCAATATTATCAATGTAATTATATAATATAAATCAATCAACCTCATACAGCACATCAACTTATCAAGTCACAAAATTTTAACTAGGTATCATTTCCACTAACATATATCCTACTTTTACATCACACCAGCCTTAGCCATTACATTTTCAATATTATTTAAAATTCAAATTCAAATTCAAATTTTCCTCAGTTATCCGCTCAATCATTTTTTTTTAACTTAACTCATTTTATCTAATAAATTCAATCAAAATCAAATTATTTTATTTTTCAATTACACCCTTAACTTTTTTCTTTTTATATTAATTTTCTCTTTATTGATGCATTGATGAAATTCCAGATCTGCATAGCAATACTACATTGCCCTTATATATAATTACCGAATGCGCCGAGCCTAATTGGCAGTCTTATGTGCTTCTTAAACTTATTTGTCATAAATTGTGCTTTGTATTGACAAATATACAGGTTTGTTTTTTATTATTAGGCTTGGGAATTACCATAAACTATTTTAGGTTTAATTTTTTTTTCTTAAATTACCATATACCATTCTTACATTTTCTTATTTAATTCATATATTAATTATCATGAATTAGTATTCCTTTTTATATATAAAACTATTTAACTTTTTTATATGTATTTTATTTTTTATTTAAAATATATTAAAATAATCATACTTTAACGATATTCGATTTGATATCCATATCGCATATATAGAACATAAATAATTTCATCTACCTTTATTAAAAAAATTAATTTTATTATTAAATAAGTTTATAAAATATCAAATAAAAGTATAAATTATTTTATACAAATAAAATAAAAATCTAATTCATCAATACACCATAAAATAATTATTTAATCTATTTTTTTCATACATTCTGAATAAAATATGGAAATTAAGTATTACATAAAATAAATTATAATAATTATTATAAGATATTGTTTCACAATTTAAATATATTATATAAGGAACTAAATGTTATTAAGTTATTTAAAATATAGAATATAAAGCGATATCATAATTAAATATAATAAAATAATTTTTTGTTTCATAAATTTATAAAATTATATATTTATGCGTAAATTAATATTCAAAATTATTAAATTATTTAAAATTTAAAAACTTGAAAAAATAATAAACGATAGACACCGACTCTATAAATATAAAATATAATCAGAATATAATAAACTTGTTTTTTTTTTTAAAAAATATCAAATTCGATATATGGAGTTGTAAATAATATCTGTTTTAGACATAAATAGTTTACAAATATAATAAAAAAATATCATTTTGGATAAATTTAGTGGAAAAATGCGGATGCCATATTGAATTAGTTATTACTTTGTTAATTGTTGTGTATTCATTATACATAATTTCAGAATAAAATATAGGTAGTTTTGATTTTTTATTATACAAATATTAATATATTTAAGTATCAGTGTAGTACACGGGTATTGTATTAGTTTATTAATATACCATAAACAACCATTTTAGTATATTATCTGGAAAAAATGTAGAAATTGAGTATGAACAAAAATTGAATATGAAAAATATTCAAAAAATTATGTCTTGACTTAAATAAAGTACGTATACAAGTTTAAATGTTATTATGATTTTGTAAATAAAAATACGAATGAATATCATAATTAATTTATATTTTAAATCAATCACTACAATACAGTAAGGCATTTAAGAAAACTATAAAAATCAAAAATAATTTATGGTATTGTAGATATCATTTGCTTTGGATATATAATTTGATAAATATAATTAACGACTATTACTCTTAACAAATCAAGTGTAGAACATGATTTAATGTCAAAAAATATCATTTTTTAGTTCTTTATATTTTATAATTTACCAATAAGAATATATTTAGTTTATTATTTTTTCTTATAAAGTATCAATTTTTTTTGTAGTCCACGGTATCGTCCTAATCTACGTGGGATAGGAATCTTTTGAGAGATAATTACCCCTCGCACGATTCCAACTAATCTTATTTCTCTTTCCACGAACCTTCGTTTTCATTTGCATTTGCACGACATATTTCACTATTCATTTCCCTTTCTGAAGTCCTTCACTCTTTCAATTCTTCATTCGTAGAGACAAAATATGAAATTTTCATTCAGTATTTCTCTTCTAAAATCCAAGATCCTCAGATCCCCAACAAGCCAGCAAAGCCAGAGAAGATCTTCCACAGCCGCATCGCTGCAAACAAGGCAGATCTTGGCCGCTTTCCCGGAGGCCTTCAATCAGAATCTGCCATCGGATCTCTCTAGGATTTGGTCGCCCCTTTGCACCGCCGCGCCGCACTGCCGCTGCTGCGTTCGACCCTAGGGATTCGGGTAACAGTATTGGCCGGTGGCGTGAAAGATCGGGCATGTCTGGGCTATTCGAGTGGCCGTTGGTTCCGATTGGGTTGCATAAAAGATATTTTGTTGCTTATTTATCAATTTTAAATAATTTAGTTTTCAATTTGTGGGTTTATTTGTAGTTTACTTTTGTGTATGAATATTGTATATTTGTTCTGTAGATTTCAATGTCTATGGAGTATGGATTATATTCATATGTGTTTTTTTTTTTAATTTTTTAGTTTATTTTGTGGTTTTCTTGTTTTCTTATGTGTTCTCTGCATATGTTTTTGTGCTTTTTTTTTGATATTTTTCATAGTTATGGTATATGAATGGTTTTCATTTTGTTTATTTGTGGTTCCAGAAATTTTTCGCTCCATTATTTTATTGTAATCATGAAGGATTGCAGCAAAATTATTTCCATTCTGATGGATAGTTCGTCTTTTGGTGTAAGAATTTTATATATTTCGTCATTCTGTAATAAAAACTTGTGGCTCGTTAAAATAACGTTGCTGTAAGTTGTCTACGTATATACGTCTTTTAGCCATCTTTTGACGCGGAAAGCCCAGACAAGACTTTGACTTCAAAGTCCACCATTTGGCTTTTGTTGACTACCCCACGTAGAAATTTCCAATTAGTCTCCCCCCATTAAAATTTGCCCGCCATTTAATTTCATATTTGAATCTATGAACCTTATCGCAACTGTCCATGACCCAATTAATCCCCACATAAAATTCTGCAATTTTGTTCTATATATTTCACCAAAATAAACTCAAGATAATATTCGGCTTAATTAGTCAATGCAAATTGTGTTTGTACCTATTTGTGAAATTATGGAAGCACAGAAGGAATGTACAACCCCCAAGAACCACAAACACCGGATACCGGCAGCACTCATCTGCCCACCACCGCCAAGGAAGAGAAAATGGCGGCAGACGAGGCGGCCGGAGCCGGAAAATGGATATTTTCAGTCACCGGAGCTCGAAAAGTTTCTTAGTGCCGCTGCTCGGAGTAGATGGACTTGGGCTGAGGATTAAAACCCAAAAAAACAGAAAAGAAAGGGAAAAAAAAAAAGAAAGAAAATTTTGCTCTGTATGTAACGCAGTATGCATGGGAATATACATTATTTTGGTATTTTTTTTTCTTTTCTTATTATTATTTGTTAGAAGTTTTTAATTTTTATGCAATTTTTAAAGAAAGTACGATTGAGTAACTACGTTAGACAATCTAACAGAAGCATACGTATTTTGCTCATTGGTTCTGATACTATTAAGCACATCACTTTTCTCGTCTAGCGAAAATGAATTCGAATGACTAATGAATTTGGATAAAACGAAAAAGACTTAAAGAGTAATTCGATTTATTGGAACTCATGTAACGTTACAAAACACAAACATGGTGTCTCGAGTCTCGACTATGAAGAAAGAAATAACAGAGAGTCAATGCCGTGAAACTGGGAAATCCAAGTCAGCTCACTTGTGTTACAGTTAAGGAAACATACGAAAGAACAAACATGCAAAAATTTCAAAAACACACAAAAAAACAGAGAAATTTGTAACTTTTTTATCAGCATTTGGGAAGATCAGCCGGAGGAGGAGGAAGCTTCTGGTTCGGAAGTTTGCCGTTGAGGACGAGCCACGCCATCTTCAATCCCCAGCTCGTGTGTACCTCCAAATGGCAATGCATAAACCATACACCTATGCATACACACATACATATACTCATTTCCCCTGTATATATTGTTTTTTTTTTTAATGTTGTGATGTATATATAGTGTTTACTTTACTTACCTGGATTATCAGCTAAAAACCGAATGGCGACCCACCCGCCAGCTGGCACTCCAACGGTGTTCCTCTCAACCGGGTCGACAAGGTTGAAACTTTTCGGGTCTTCTCTCGGGTCGAAATTTCCGAATCCTTGCCCCACCACAAAGAAATTAAATCCATGGAGATGAAGAGGATGGCTTTCTGCTCCAAGAATACTGGTATCTTGCATTACCAGCTCAACCCTGGTGTTATAATCCAAAACCATTAGCTTCGTCCCGTTTGCCACCATTGTATTATTGGGTGGATTCCCTGTGTAGTTGAACCATAAAGGGCTGTACGGAAAATCCGAGCTGTAAACTCCCCTCGAAAGACCCGTGAAATGGGCCTGGAGAAGCGCTTTCGTGGGCTGCACGAACGATATGTTGCTGATGGAGGCCGCGAACTTGGTCCCGTTTGGCCCTTGGCAAGTCCTGTTCCCGTTGCACGGGCTCGTCCCCAGCCCAACCGTGAAGAAGAACCGCTTGTCCACTTTCTTTGGGACGTTTGCCGGAAATCGAGCCGTGGCAAGGCTGCGCAGCCTTCCCGTGAAATTCGCGGCGAACGAGGTGTCGTTTAGGGGCGGGAGGGCCGGTTTGTAGAGCGGCAGTTTCTTGAATTGGTGTGACGACGACGATGATGTCGGCGGAGGCTCGTATTCCAAGACTCCGGCGACTGTGGAATTGTCGAAAGTGCCCTGGCCAGTGGCGTAAGGCCTCGCCGTCATTAGAAAAGTGGCGCCCGGGAATTTGGGTTTAGTTCTGAGAAGGATGTTTGAGGTCTGGCCAGGGGAGATGAGGATGGTGTGCGTTTCGAAGGGCTTGATGTAGACGGCGTCGACGTCCACCACGGTTAGCGTGTGGTTGGCCACGCCGAAGAAAAGCTCGTCGTTGAGCGCGGCGTTGATGACTCGCAGAAGGTAAGTCTTCCCGGGCTTCACCCTCAGCCTGAACGTGTCTTTGGCAGAGCAGTTGTAGAGAGGCCCAGGAAGCCCGTTTATCGTGTAAGCATCCGAAACGTTCGGGCCTCCGCCAGTTTGCAAGGCCTGGCTAATAATGGCCTCCGTGTCCGCATTGAACCATTCCCCTGCTCGTTTTTCAAGCGAATAAAAAATTCGTCCTCATAATCGAAATTTGGAATATAATTAATTAACTGTGGTTTATATATATAATGCTGACCGAATATAATGGGGACTTCCTTGTAGGGTTTTTGGAACGGGTAAGGCTCGTTTTTCTTGGGGAGGATGATGATGGGCCCGTAGAGCGTGGACCTGAGCCACGAGATGTGGGCGTGCCAGAAAAGGGTTCCGCGTTGGCCCACTATCGTGAAATTGTAAACATAGCTCTGCCCAGTTTGGATCGGGCATTGGGTTATGTACGCAGGCCCATCGGCCCATCCACTGCGAAGCTGCCTAATTCCGTGCCTGTCGTATTAAATCGTGTTACATAAAATGCTATAGCTAAAGCAAGAATATTATTAGCTAATAATGTATAAGTTGATTGGAGGAGTTTTCTTTTGTATATATGTACCAATGGAGGGTAATATTGTTGGGGACATGATTGGTGACTTTTATAAGCAAACGGTCGCCTTCTCGTGCAATGATGGGAGGTCCCGGGAATTTACCGTTCACGGTGACTATGCTCTTCGTGTGGCAAAGTCGAGTCACGTTTTGTGTCGTGATCTGCAAGAAATTAAATGTACGACGAGACATGAAAATTAACACAAAATTGTATATTTATAGTTCGAAGAATTGATTTTCTCGATTGGATATGATACGACGAACATACATTGAATTCGTAGTGTCGAGTGGCGGCTTGTGCATGGAGTGGAAGCAAGTACAGAGAGATCAATGCCAGAAAAAAACCTATAGAAACCATTTTTTTTTTTTTTTTTGGCAATTTTGCAATTTGATTTCTTTCTTTCTGGGAAAAATGATATGTTTTTTGAGGTTGATGAGTGGTAATGTTAGAACAAAGGCTACTGGGATTGTGTATTTATAAGGGTGTTTGGTTGATTAGGTGATGAAGATTGGGTTATTGTAAAAATTTTTGGGGAAATACTAAAATGGCCAAAAATTAAAATATTTTGGGGGAATAATACTAATAAAATGTAGTAGAAAACTGTATTTTCAAGGGGCCAACTGTGTTGGAAAATAACATTAGAGTGGTGTCAAAGACATTCAAAAGTAGTGGTTTTGATCCCCTTTTAGTATCTCCCTGTCAAATGTTACCTTATTTATGATGCTATGTTAGAACTATTTTTGAAATAATTAAGTGAGTAACAAGCTTTGCCTCAAAGAAAGAGAAAATAATTTGGTAAAATGATGCATGCTTTTATAGAAACCTGACTTCTAGAGTTGTTAATTAATCTAAGCTTTGTTCTGTTAGCCCTGTCTTGTTAGGATGTTGATATGATTTTCTTTACAATGTGTATATTAATTAGTTATAGATGATATATATTTAACATAATGGTTATGTGTATTTGTACTTTGTAGGGTAAATATAAATTTAAGGTGCTTAAGACAGTCTTAACCGAATCAATTTTGTAACGAATGACAGGGTTTTCTCAGAACTATCTAAATTTGTTTTACAAATAATATATTGACAGGTCTCCTTAAATAAATACATTTGAGACAAATATTAATATACCAATTCATGGATGACTCTATACAACTCGTGTGAACTGGAGTTCTCCTGAATTCAACGAAAAACTTACAATTTTAATCTAATAATTTTCTGGGTTTTCAATTTAATACAATAACTTTGAATTTTGTGTCAATTTTGTCCAATCTTCACACTCTGTTCTTTTAGGAAATTTATGACAGAAAACTGCAATTTTTCCAAAATTCAACCTTATTGTGGTTTTATGTAATCATGGCACAAAATAATTTCTTTGATTTTCAACAAAGAATATAACTTTGTTCTCAAGCATCACAAAAGAATTTGTAACAATTAAGATAGATACACATGAACAAGTATAACGTAGTTATCATATTCATGTGTAGATGTAGAGAGGAACAGTTGAGAAGCTGAATTTGGTGAGTATTGAGCTGTCAATCTCTGGTTCCTAAATATGCAAGTAATTTAGAAAAATACATGCAGTTTGGTCTATTTTAAAACTTCAAGTGATCACCCAAGCAATGGGAAAATATATAAATAAGTAATTATAATATTTATATGCTATATATGTATCTTTGCGCTAAAATAGTGCAGAACAGGCCTACAACGGTGCGCCAGATATCTGCGCTAGATGGGAGAGATGAATAGTGTTGCACACTTGCGCTACATTTGGCGCAACACTGTAGCACCTGCGCTACATTTTATCTTCTTTTTTTTTTTATTTTATTTTATGTATTTTAATATAATATTAATGATAAATTTTTGTATAATGTGTATTACTAAATGTATTTTTATGCTAAATAACTTTGTGCAATGTATTTTTTTATGCTAAATAATTTTGTACTTTTTTATTTATTGATTTATTATAATTTTATTTTGTATTTTTTTAATATTAAAATGGTACCGTATGAATTAAATTAACACATTCCAACAAGTAGATGTCATTAAAATTAAAAGTTTACAACAAACTTAAATCATAAAATACACAAATTTTGCCCCAGATCAAAGAAATGCAATGTATATCTCTGACAGAATTGCGTCAGATTTTTTTCCTTTTTTATTATTTTTATTTATATATTTTGTATGATTTTTTATTCTATGTATAAATACATACATACATACATATATATATATATATATATATATATATATATAT